TAGAAAAATACGATGCATAGGTCTCTAATCGCATTAAACTACATTACTTAATCGCCACGATAACTCTAAAACAACAAGTGAAGTAGATTCAACAATTCAAACAACTCAGCCCCGTAGAAACAGTGGTTAATTGATGAGCTTTGAATAGATGTCTACATGAGTTCGAGTAATCCTCCCATAGAAAAATATAATTCATGTGTTTCTAACCGAATTACTTAATCGCCACCATAACTCTAAAACACCAAGTGAAGTAGATTCAACAATTCAAACAACTTGGCCCCTTGACACATAAAAGAAATCTACAATACCTAGATGAAACTAAAACGAAAGAACTCTCCTAAGAGAGAAAAAAGAAGCAAATTTCTAATGAGTTTCTGGTAATTATTAAACTAAATCAAACTAAATGAACAAAACAGTGATGCCACTCCATATCCTCCTGGCATCCCGAAGAGAGCCATAGTTGTTAGGAATGTCGATACTACAAGATAGAGAATGCACAAGGTAAAGTAGAAAATGGACACCAAGAATTTATATGGTTCAACAATTTATGCCTATGTCTACTAAACAAGGATCAATCTTCACTATATTAAAAAGGTGAGTACAACAAGAGTAGTCTTACCAAGCCAAAGATAAGGCTTAATATATACAAGAAAGTATGGCACATACTTTCTATCACTCTAAACTTCACTCACATAATGTGTAGTGGAACACACTCACTCTCACTCTTGGAGTGGAACTAAACTTCACTCACACAATGTGTAGTGGAACACTCTCACTCTCACTCTCATTCTTGGAGTGGAACTCTAGCTTTGGACTTGATCCTTAGCTACTCACTACTCTCTTGATTGGTTGGTTGATACAAATGGTGTGGATGCCTTCTCCTTTTATAGGCATGGATGGAACCTTAAAGAAGCATGGAAACATCATGCTAGAGATATCTAGATAATTCCACTACCTTCCTAAGCTAGAATTATCTACACTAATCTTGTATGTTGGTGGAATCCTCACCATTCTTCTAGACTCTTCCACCAACTTGAACTTTGCTAGAATTCTCTAGCATGTGTATGGATCTTTCCATTTGTAACCAAAGAAGCTAGTACTCTCTAGCTTCTTCCATCAACTTGATAACATGCTAGAATTGTTTAGCATGCTCCAGGCACCTCACTTGCTTACTAGAATAATCTAGAACATTCATAATGGGCTGGACCATATACCAATAATCTCCCCCTCCAGTCCATGAGGGAAGAATACCAGAAAATAGGATTGGTCCTCTTGACCAAACTCCCATTGATTGAACTATTCATTAACCAAGACCCTCTCGATTAGACTTCTCTTGACCAAGCTCCCCTTGATCAGAACTACCATTGTCATTGGCAAAGGCAATTATATACTTCTTTGCCAGAAAAGCATTGCTTGTTTGCATTAAAAAAGCTCTTCACCGTAAGTCACAACACCTACAGTATTGTTTCCATCCCTTTGTTTCTTTTTCCATTTACGACAATGCTTCTTCATGTGACCTTCTTTGCCACAATGATGGCATGCACCCCTGAACCTCGACTTGGATCGGCTAGGACTCCTGCCATGACCTCTAGGTCCTCTACTCTTGCTTCTTCCTCGGTTCTCTGTGACAAATACTTGGCTGCTATATGTGCCTGAAGTCTTTCTCCTTGTTTCTTCATTGAGCAAGCTATTTTTAACATTATCAAGAGTAAGAACACTAGTAGGAGCAGAGTTACTTACACTCACCACAAAGGTCTCCCAACTGTCTGGCAAGGATTAAAGTAACAAGAGCGTTTGTAGCTCGTCCTCGATCATCATTTTCATAGTAGCCAACTGGTTGATGATATTCTGGAAATTGTTCAAGTGTTCTGCTACACTTAAACCTTCCTTGTACTTCACATTGATGAGCTCTTTGATTAAGAAGGCTTTCTTGGCTGGGGTCTTCTTCTCGAACAAGGACTCAAGCTTCGTCCAAAACTCGCAGGCATTGGTTTCTTTAGACACATGGTGAAAAACACTATCGTCCACCCATTGTCTAATTGTGCCAATAGCCTTGCGATTCATCTTCTTCCACTCGGCATCGGACATGCTCTCGAGCTTAGCGGCATCTCCTTCAATTGGCTCATGCAGATCCTTGCAATAGAGAATGTCCTCCATCCTTGGCTTCCATGTTACCCAATTGGAGTTGGTGAGTTTGATCATAGTGTCACTTCCTTCCATCTCGTAGTACGAGCCAACCGGACTCTGATACCACTTGTTAGGAATGTCGGTACTACAAGATAGAGAATGCACAAGGTAAAGTAGAAAATGGACACCAAGAATTTATGTAGTTCGGCAATTTATGCCTATGTCTACTAAACAAGGATCAATCTTCACTATATGAAAAATGTGAGTACAACAAGTGTAGTCTTACCAAGCCAAAGACAAGGCTTGATGGATACAAGAAAGTATGGCACACACTTTCTATCACTCTAAACTTCACTCACACAATGTGTAGTGGAATACTCTCACTCTTGGAGTGGAACTCTAGCTTTGGACTTGATTCTTTGCTACTCACTACTCTCTTGATTGGTTGGTTGATACAAACGGTGTGGATGCCTTCTCCTTTTATAGGCATGGATGGAACCTTGAAGAAGCATGGAAACATCATGCTAGAGATATCTAGATAATTCCACTACCTTCCTAAGCTAAAATTATCTATACTAATCTTGTATGTTGGTGGAATCCTCACCATTCTTCTAGACTCTTCCACCAACTTGAACTTTGCTAGAATTCTTTAGCATGTGCATGGATCTTTCCATTTGCAACCAAGGAAGCTATTACTCTCTAGCTTCTTCTATCAACTTGATAACATGCTAGAATTGTCTAGCATGTTACGGCCACCTCACTTGTTTACTAGAATAATCTAGAACATTCATCATGGGCTGGACCATATACCAACAATAGTGTCGTACTGACTAAATTTGAACCATATGCAATATGATAGATTTCACTCCTTGCAGCTCCAAACTCATATTGAAGGTGACAACTTGACAGTCTTGACCCAAACCTTTTAGGTAATCATGTGCATGGGTCAAAAGACAGCAAACATTTTGGCGACTACAATGTGTTACGGTGACAATTCTACACCAAAATAAAAATAACAGGAAGGGGAGAAAGGGAATAGACCAAGAAGGATTACCAAGAGGGAAAAAACCTAGCCACTTTGAGAGAGAAATTGCGTACAATTTTTATTACATATAAACCTTAAGCTCGAAGCATTCGTTTGGCTCGTTACAGCTTGTCCATTGGTAGTGAACGTGAATGGTTACTTACTTCGGCCGCCTTCCTTTATCTTGGATCTCCATGTTGAGGAAATTCTGTAACTGGTTCTTATTGGTTCCTACCAAGATTTGTTTACCTTTGGTCGAGGCTGACCTGTAGCCTTGACCTCCACCCCATTTTACTACACTATCGATTTTTCTTATTCTTCTTCTTCTTCTTCAATAAAAAAAAGAAAGAAAAAAAAAACTATAAGCCCGAAGCAAACAAATACAATATAACATCTTCTTCAAAGTAGATTTTGGCAAAGCTTGTGAAGAGCTCAACACAAAATTAGAAATGGAGAATCGGTTTTATAAAGAAGTTGAGATTTCAGAATAAAATCTCATGTGTGACGAATTTCAAACTCAATTATTATGAAAGAAGTTGAGGTTCCACTAGAAAATCAAATGGTAATATAGAGAGTAGCCAAACTCCTTATCAACACATATTACGTCTCTTATTTTCCCATTTTGGGATTCTTATATACACTCAACATTTACAAAGAGGTGTGCTTAATTAGGCTAAGTCACACAATGAGTTAGTCATAATAATTTAGTGTCGAATTCGCCCTTACAAATATATAAGAATATATACTACTAAACTGTAGTATTAGTAAACATCAATCCTTATTTTGGTTTAAAAAAAATATTTATGTTAAGGATAAGATCCTTATTAATTGTGATGCATATATACAATGATCCTCACGAACAGAATCATTCAATGAATTTGCAACATCCACAAGAGCATGTGTTTGCAGTTCTAATCCAAAAGGTTACTTCATTACCTTCTCACAATGATTTGATTAATTTGTATCTTCTAAAAAAATTGCACCGTACGTCCGACGGAAAAAAGAAAGTTAAGCTTCCACTTGAGCTCTAAAATTTGGAACCTGTGCTCGTTCACTGGTCAGGAGGTCAGTTCTTCAATGCAAAATACCATTCTGCAAGACTTTTATTACTGAGTTCCATAACTTCATTGCAAATTGACATAGGGAAATGCCTAGAGGAGAGACAGAGAGAGACAAATCACGTTCAATAATTAATTAGTCTAACCCAGAACACAAGCCATGAATATTCTTGATAATGTTTAAGCAAAGAATAAAGCCATAGGAAAAAAATAAAGTCCCAAAGAACAACCATTGAGAGTAATAATCTCACATAGGAAAAAAATAAAAATAAAATCTTGTATGTACTTATAAGTAATTGAGTTACTCTCTATATTGTTAATTAGTTTTATGGTTGGACCTTGACTTTTTCATGGTATGAGAGCAAGTTGTCTCATGTATGAAGGTCAACAAACAAGTTGTTCCATGTGTGAAGCCCAAATATGGTCACACGTACTCCACGTCACCTAATTTGTACTGTTTACATGCTAAGCTTCAATTCATCAGACTTGAGGGATATGTTAAGGGTATTAATCCCACATCTCAAGGAAAGAACAGACTTTACATTTACTTATAATAATTGAGTTGTTCTTCATATTACTAATTAGTTTTACGTGCAATTCATCATTCTTTAACAACCCCTTAACAATTGAAAGTGCACATATGCTTTGCATTGAGAGCTAAGAAACCTAAAAGATAAAAAAAGAATAAGAAAAAGTAGCAAAAGCTTCTCTGACAACAAAGCTGGTAGAAAGTATTCCATGCAACCCCTACAAAACCCCCCTCAGAACACCATTCATTCCATCCCATTTTTCTTCGTCTTCCAAAAACGACAGGGAAATACAAGCAATATTTGGTCCAACAATGGCCAACCAAATTCACAAAAATAATATTAATGCAGTTTTTGTTCTGGGGATTGTATGCGTGACGCTGTTGATACAGAAGAGTGGTGCAACTGACTTTGCAATTGGAGGCTCAAAGGGCTGGTGTATTCCTGATTCTTCTGTTCACTATAATCAATGGGCAGAAAGAAACAGGTTTCAAATCGGAGACTCCATTGGTAAGTATTTTATGCTCTATGTTTATTAATAAGATTCTACATATCCATCTCAGTTTTCAGCATCTGAATATACAAGCAAGTTTTAGGTAAAACCTATTTTATTTAAACACTTTGACTCCTATATATGCCACCCAGGATAACCTTCCTATTGTGTGTGTTAAAACTTAGTTTGATGCGTTAATACATTATTTTTCATTTCAAATTTGCCCATAAGGTTAAAAATGGTGAAGAACATGATTTTATAGTCCACCACTTATATATTAATTTTATTAAAGAATTATATTACTTTTCAAGGGACACTTATCATTGTTCATGTTTTTAAATTGATTACGATGATAAAAACCGAAGTTATGTGATTAAAATTAAATACAAAAGTAAATTTTGTTGATAAAAAAGAAAAGAAAAGAAAGATCTATTATGTGTTTATAAGTAATTGGCTACTTCTCATATTACCAATTGATTTTATGGCGAAAACGTCAACTTTCTTCAGTCTGATATATATTTTACATGGTTGGACAAGCCAACTGTAATTAAGATTGTTGATTTGATGGAATTATGTGTATGCATGTGATTTTAATTTATAGTGTCTCACGAGAACTTAACAGATCAAATAAAAGATCATTGTATTTTGGGGCTTGTAGCTCCAATGGTAGTAAATTACGTCCACCCCAAAAAAAGGGAGGTTCTGGTTCCCCTCCTCCCTTCCCTTCTTTGTAACAAAAACAACACACAATCAAAATTGTACAAAAATAAAAATAAAAGGTTTGTTACTCCCACGTAGCCATGCTTACCCTTGTTAATTTACTTGATGTGTATTTCAACTGCAGTGTTCCACTACCCTCCTGGCCAAGACTCAGTGCTTCTAGTAACCCAGGACGACTACACCAACTGCAACACGGATTCACCTACGGCTAAGAAATACACCGATGGCCACACTGTCTTCAAGTTCAACCAATCCGGGCCATTCTACTTCATCAGTGGGAACAAAGATAAATGTCAGAAAAATGAGAAGGTGGTAGTGATTGTCTTGGCAGAGAGAAGCAGAAATGCAAAACCCCCTTCATCTTCAAACTCAAAAGATATGATCCCATCTCCAGCTCCTTCTGATGAAGCGTCTCCACCTCCACCGCCGTCAGGGACTACTGAGATTAACCCTACTCCTGCTCCTGAAGGTGAAACACCTCCTCCACCTCCGAACGCGGCTTCTTCAGTTTTCATGAGTTTTATTGGGTCCGTCGGAGCATTTGCTGCATCCTCAACACTTTTACTACTCTAACTGGATTGGATTCCTTGAGTACAAAGTTTGTTTTCTTCTGAGAGTATCTTTTTATTACTCTCTGTCTTATTTTATGTTCTTTTTTCCTTAAAGCTCAGTGTACATGTTTGTACTGGTGCTTGATATTTGTTTGATTCTCATTTGTATGTGCTTGTGAGACTCCACAATAAAGGCCAATAATGTAGATGTATGCACAAATAAATAAATTGATTAATTTTACGTAGTGCATGTTAATGTATATGTGCCTTCCCGTGGGAAATGCAAGTATTATCTTTGGTTTCATGACTTGCGATTGTGGAAGCAATAAGATACGAGGTGTTCGACCATCCAAAGCCGTTAAATTTAGCTATTAATCCATATTCGATCCGTTACAGAATGTATTGTGAATTCATGAGTTTTTATCATTTACCGCTAAAGGTTAGCCCCTAATTTCACAATTTTTTGTTTTTATAAAAACTTTTAAATATAAGAAAAATCTCGACTGAATAGACCCAAAAACCCTCAAAACTAACAGCTAGTTATACCTACAAGCTAAATCCCTTTAAATGTTATGAATTGTTGTTTAGCGAGGGAGGAGAGGGACAAATCGTTTTACTGTATTATGAAACCTTTAAATCTTAAGGAAAACTAATGAAAATGACTTGAAAACTTTGAGTTTTAATGATAAAGACAAAATAAAGGGTAAAGTGAATAGTACCAGAATTGACTTTTTAGTGTAAAAATGTGGTTTCGTTAAAGTGAACAGTACCGGGTGTTTTTCGTTAAAGTTCCCTAAATCTTATGCTTTGCTGTAGTTCTGTGAAATTTTTATCATGGATTTTGTAGTTGTGTCTAAAACAAAAACTGAATGGTAAAGAAAAATATTTGGCTTCATAATATGTAGTATAGTCTAAAAAAAATTGAAAATCCTTACCTATGCGTGAAAAATAGCATGCTCTATTGAATTGTATGAGTGAATTTTTGCAAGGAGACTCATCACAGAAATCTAATGTTGTCATGTCGAAATTTTAATGGGTGAGAGTTTTAAACATGGAATTTTGATAAAAGTTAAAATTTATAAGTTGACATACATCACTTCCCTTTATTAGGATTCATAAATATAGAAATTAAAATTTTCATATGTAAAAGAAACTTTGAAATTGGGACTCCAATTCCCAAGTTTAAATTTCATGTAAATAGATGTCATCTCCAAATTTCTATGAGTAAGAGTTTAAAAATAAAAAAAATCAATATTCAAATTTCATTGTATTTTGAAGTTAATCAAAAAAGAAAATTCACAAATTCTAGATAATAATATTCCGTTATTTCTATTTCCGTCATTTTAAAATTCTTTAGTAATATTAAATTTCTTCATTCAAACATAGTGTTAATGAAATTACGAATCCAATCCAATTGGATAAGTAATTGAAACAAACAGTAAAAGTATTTACTTACTACATTCATCATCTAATGGTAAGATATTATATTCTCTCTTCGATTACATATTTGACCGTTAAATGATGAGTGTATCTCTTTGAATACATATTAACTATTAAATGGTGAATGCATTAAGTAAATGTATGTAGGAGTATAATGGGTGCTTGCACTATCCCTCGTTGACATATCCCATAACAATTAGTACAAAGTCATCTAACTAATAATCGCATGAGTTGTGAAGTATAGAATGTTTGTAAAATCGCTTCGTGTTTCGAAAACTTGAACCGAAAAATCGGCACTGGTAATGCTTCATTCCACTTTCTTCTTTCTAAGAGGAGCATGTTGTCATCGTTAACAAAACAATCCTCACTAAATCAGATGTAGCAAATAAATAATTCTTCTTGTACACTACCCAACACTTGGCCTATCTATCAGAAGTTTTTGCCGAGTTCAACCTTCCTCATCATTCTAATAGTATTGTGCAGAATTGAGTCCATTATTCCCGCTACCTGCAGACCCAAACGAAAGAAATAATTAGTAAGCACTCTTGAGAAACAACTACAAAAAACAAAGATACTAACCGTGAAAACGCCTCCGATAATAGCGCACACATTCGTGATAAAATGTGAAAAGGATTTCGGGTTTTCTGTTATTAAAACCTGGTTATAGACAAAGAAAGAGAAAATGTGAGAGAAGCAACGAGAGTACAAACTAAAAGACATTTACGTTATTGTTGTTTTTAACGAAAATTAAACCTGCATGGGGGAGAGCTCGAAATGGAACTTCGCAACTGGTATTTGGAGACTCTGCGCCAAGCTGCTGTGGGCCGTGTACTCATATTCCTCAATTAATTTATGAGATCTCCCAGTTATGACTTCCGATTTAACTATTTGAAGGTAATGCTCTATCTGCACATACAATTACCAGATATTGCAATTATAATGAGCTTAAGCATTTGCTACTCTTTACCAGCCCAATAGACTTCATTAATGAATCTACTTGTAAGTCCACAAATATATGGTAAAACGAATAAAGATGGACTATCACCAACAACGAACAGGAATAAACACTATTTAGTACCCGAAGAAGATTACCCAAAAAAGGAATTAAAACAGTTAGTATCCACTAAGAAGGAGATGTTTATGGACCGTGGAAGCATCTTTAGGGAGGTAAGAATATCCATACAACTACTAAAATGCGTAAAACTCAATCACATGCAGCTATACATTACCAATACACTTGCACACACAGTGGCATGTTAATGGACAAGTGCAGAACAATAGAGAAACAAACAGAAGAAAAAGATAGGAAGAGTCATGCATAGAGACAAACTTACTGTAACATTAGCACCTAATTCATGGTGATTTATGAAAGACCGACCATTCAACCTATCATGGCTCACACCAAGATAAGGTACCAATCGCTTGACATCACTCATCACCTTAGGAGCAATCATCCTACCGAATGAAAAATGTGAAATGACGTGAGACATGTTCATTTGAGAAGCATCGAAGGAATGAGCTCCCGAATGAGCGGAAATGACAAGGTTTCCCGGAACCTGCACAGCACAGGACAAATCATACCTATTTCCAACTGAATAACAGCTAAGAGTTTTACTGTAAGGTCAATTGAAAGGACAAAGAAGGCCAGAATTCTGTCAATGATAAATTGCATTTTACTGGTACAATATTCTCTTCTGTTAATTCATGTTAACCACCAAGTACAAGAAATTTAAAAATTTGAGGAGGTAAACCATAGCTTAGTTGCTAAGGTGGCAAATTTTTTATTTTTTTTCATGAAGAAGCCAAGGTCAGCCGCTGCTGTCATGACTGCACATGTGATTCTCAAGTGTGATGGAGACTCGTGTGTGCAGCTCTGCTAACCAAATTGAGCAGTCACAGCTGCCCTTGGCATTTCTCTTTATTCTTACCGATTTCAAGCATGTGAAACACCTGAAGGCATGCTCAGACAAAGAAAAAAAGGAAATGAGTTGTTCAATCCCTCTTTCATCGGTATAATCACTGTCCTGCAATTAGGTCTTACATGCCCAATGGTTCTATTAATTTCAATTTCAACTAGAAGATCACCTTCTTTACACGCACATATCCTTCAATTCTACACCCTCCTGTCAATGGTGCTGGTCTTTTTGCATTCTCACCCCCGTTGTTAGATTTACCCTCCAAAGCGAGTTTTTCAGACTCCACAGGGATAGGTGCAACCAAAGTTTCCATTGTCTGCAAGGATAGAAGCTTCATATTAGATTTACAATTTCATTGGGCCACTGAATATCAAGAAGCACCAACAAGTTCAAAGTCAAAGTTAAACATGGGATACAGTGACACTAATTAAAACTTATGAATGCTTGTACCTTAACAAGGCTATCTGTATCTCGATCACCATAATAAGATTCATGCTCATGGTGTCCATGGTCATCCCTGTGAAAGAATGCCACATAAAGAGGTTGCTTACTTTAAGCTTTAAGCTTCATATGTACAAGACAGGCATGGCCGAGGGAGCAAAATTTGAGAATCAAATGTATATATCAAAATGGGTCAATTAAAGAAAATAAACTGAAACATTAGCATTTCTAAAACCCAGGACATACACTTGAGAATGGAGAAACACCCCTGGGGGAAAGGGCAAGAGAGGGAAGACAAGAGAGAGAATTGTCTTTTCGATACTATTACCATCTTAGAAAGATCATAGAATGAATAAACTATGCATGCAGCTCCACAACTGAAGGACCAGAAAAACATAGATACAACTTAATTGGCTGCCCAAAGATTGCATTTAGATAGATGACTTGAAATTGAGGATTTCGATTTGCATTTTTATTATAAATTGTATGAGATATTAGGCATAGTAAAATTCTTTGCAAATTGAAGTACATGTACATGACAATATAAGATCAGTTAAATATTCAAGAACAAAACGTTATTTCAAATTAACTCCCTAATGTACTTGACCAAAATTTTCTTTCAGTATATCAAAACTATACTTTATCCCTTCTTTTGACATTTCACACTCAATATATCACAAAGTCAAATTCAAATCTTGCATATAAATCCACATGTTGAAATGGAGCCTTAGAGCACGTAAAAAACTGCTCTCCAAATAGATACAGATAAATACGCATACGAGTAAGATGAAGATAGAACAGACAAAAATAAAAAACGATAATTTAAATGCGATTTAAAACGTAATGTTAAGACTCCAAAGTTGAAATCATTTCGATAATAAATAAATGAGTAGAAATCAGTTTGAAAAGAAAATAAACTTTGCGAAATTTTGTAGCATTTACCTCACATCACTTCCTTTACGAAAAATACGAATTGATGGATATCCTTGAATGTGATTCCTGAACATTATGAGGAAGCATAGTTAATAATGGCAAAAACAGGAAGACAGTGGTACATGAAGCACATTTGAGAGGTAGGTAAAGAAGAGAACAACATATCTGGAGATGTAAAGCAATGATGTATAACTAGTTAAGATGGCACATAAAAGCTTAAGTTGGTGGATATGAAAATAGTTCAAATGTTGATTCAATTCTGGGATACTAAGAGTGATGGCTTAACTAGGGTGACATACAAGAATACCACGTGAAAATGCATAAGATAGAGACAGACTAAAACATGAGCTCATCCATGTTCCCACCCTGAGGTTAACAGTTCTCTTTTCAACCAGAAAGTCAAAATATACTGATCTGCCAGAAAAATGCTACATTGGTAAGAATACTACCACTACTACAACAACACCAACAACAACAACAACAACCAAGCCTTATCCCACTAAGTGGGTTCGGCTGTAGGAATCCTAGAATGCCACTGTACTCGGCTTTGTGCCATGTCTTCCGTCAGCTCCAAGTACTCCATATCTTTTCTTAAAGTCTCTTTCCAAGTCTTCCTAGGTCTAATTGGTAAGAATGCTACGCTAGAAATAAAATCTAGAGCTCTATAATTGGCATTTCAAGAAACTAAATCCTAGTATTGTTATTTTGAAAACCACCCTAGTTAGGCCCCGGTAGGTAGCTTATAGTACTTGTTTCAAAATCTTCTTCAACGACAAATAGGTTCCTCTTCCACTTTTTAAGTCTTGACCACATTTTCAAGCAAGAATAAAAACAACCCTGATCATTACAAGTTAAATTTATTGTGTAATATATTTCTTAATAGTGAAGGCTTTGGTGTATTTAACACAATACGTTGAAATGAAGGAAAGCTTATTTATTGATATCCCCGATAAGCTACAAATATGTACATATACATGAGTCAAAATAAACACACAAGAGGGAGCCTTCACAAAGGTTGCTTAGGAGAAGTCTCAGCAGTCGGTAGAGCCCCAGAAAGAGAAGGCACCGGAGGGGGATCATTTGGAGCCTCAGTACTGGACAGAACCCTAGAAGGAGGAGGCATCAGAGGTTGATCATTTGGAGCTTCATTACGCGGTACAGCCCCAGAAGACGAAGGCAATAAATGCCTTTGGAACAAACCCACAAATCTCTGATGATCAAGTAAAACCTGACCATCAGTTTCCTTCATCTGGTCAAGCTTCCTCTTCATGTTTGTAGCATAGTCATGTGCGAGCCGGTGCAACTGTTTATTCTCATGCTTGAGCCCTCTAATCTCCTGTTTGAGACTCATCACTTCAGCCGCCAATGATTCAACTTGGCGGGTTCGAGCAAAATAGGCGTTGTGCCATATTAGACACAGAACCTGCACACTGAACACTGAGAGCCAGCGAATCCTTAACAGCTAACTCTCATCAGACCGTTTGGAAAGTAGTCTGTTATCTTTGGGAGTGAGAAGGTTCCTGGCCACCACCGCAGCGGTCATATCATTCTTCATCACGGAATCCCCAACGGTAAGAGGACCAGTTGGGGAGACAAAGGATGGGCGCCATATGTTGTCTGGAGAAGGCGGGGCTGCCTCTTCAACAAGGTTCAAGTCAAAACGACGGTCGGAAGGGCCAGACATTTTCAAAGGTGTTGAAGAGAGAAGAGGTCGGACAAATCAAGATCTTAGAAGTGCAAGAATGAAGCTTCTACTGGTGGAGATTCAAGTGTGCTTTGGAACTTAATGCCAGCCCCTATAAAAATCTGCACTCGACGGAGCTTCAGAAATCAAAGAGGCGCCTGCTCAGAAATCGAAGAGGCGTTTGCTTTCTCAAAAGCTGGGCTGCTTAGAGATCACGAGGGTTGATCTCAGAAATCAAAGAGCCGTTTGCTTTCTCAAAAGTTGGGCTGCTCAAAGACCACGAAGGCCGATCTCAGAAATCGAAGAGGCGCTCGCTTTCTCAAAAGCTGGGCTCCCTAGAGACCACGAGGGCCGATCTCAGAAATCGAAGAGGCACCTACTTTTCCAGCCTTGTCAGCACCTGTCACACGCACACTCAGCTTTGCGGAAATTATGGGCATTCTGTCAAAGACTTCTGGGGAAGTAGAAAACACATGAATCTTACTGTTCAATCACCCACTTCCCACACGCAACAATAGCTCATGGGTACCACAGATAACTTTGCCAAAGTTCTCTGCCAAAGTTGAGCACGTGAAGCTTGCAGCTCCCACTACATCGCTCTGACCAAGAAGGGTAAAAGAATAGCAAAGAAACAGCACTAACAAAGTTTAGACCCATAAATTTTGAAGGTCTAGCTACCATATTATTACCCACAAGGGTAAAGGAACAGTACCACTGCTGGATAATTGGAAAGTCCATGTATGTCAACCTCTGTGCTTCGTGGCAAGGTAGACTAGCAAACATGCCCAACCTTTACTCACATTCGAGAAAACACTCCCAATAAGATTGCTTGCTCCAAAATCGAAGAGGCACCGTCCTCCGAATCTAAAGAGCCAGACTCCCAACATGACTACTTTCTTAAAAATCGAAGAGAGGGTAAAGGAACAGTACCATTGCTGGATAATTGGAAAGTCCCTGTGTGTCAACCTCTGTGCTTCGTGGCAAGGTAGACTAGCAAACATGCCCAACCTTTACTCACATTCGAGAAAACACTCCCAACAAGATTGCTTGCTCCAAAATCGAAGAGGCACCGCCCTCCGAATCTCGAGAGCCACTCTCCCAACATGATTACTTTCTCAAAAAATCGAAGAGACACTGCTCCCCGAATCTCGAGAGCCAGACCCCCAGCATGATTGCTTTCTCAAAAATCGGTGAGGCACCGTTCTCCGAATCAATCGAAGAGGCGCTCGCTTTCTCAAAAGCTGGGCTGCTCAGAGACCACGAGGGCCGATCTCAGAAATCAAAGAGGCACCTACTTTTCTAGCCTTGTCAGCACCTGTCACACGCACACTCAGCTTTGCGGAAATTATGGGCATTCTGTCGAAGACTTCTGGTGAAGTAGAAAGCACATGAATCTTACTGTTCAATCACCCACTTCCCACACGCAACAATAACTCATGGGTACCACATATCACTTTGCCAAAGTTCTCTGCCAAAGTTGAGCACGTGAAGCTTGCAGCTCCCACTACATTGCTCTGACCAAGAAAGGTAAAAGAATAGCAAAGAAACAGCACTAACAAAGTTTAGACACATAAATTTTGAAGGTCTAGCTACCATATTATTACCCACAAGGGTAAAGGAACAGTACCACTGCTGGATAATTGGAAAGTCCCTGTGTGTCAACCTCTGTGCTTCGTGGCAAGGTAGACTAGCAAACATGCCCAACCTTTACTCACATTCGAGAAAACAGTCCCAACAAGATTGCTTGCTCCAAAATCGAAGAGGCACCGTCCTCCGAATCTCGAGAGCCAGACTCCCAACATGACTACTTTCTCAAAATCGAAGAGAGGGTAAAGGAACAGTACCATTGCTGGATAATTGGAAAGTCCCTATGTGTCAACCTTTGTGCTTCGTGGCAAGGTAGACTAGCAAACATGTCCAACCTTTACTCACATTCGAGACAACACTCCCAACAAGATTGCTTGCTCCAAAATCGAAGAGGCACCGCCCTCCGAATCTCGAGAGCCAGACTCCCAACATGATTACTTCCTCAAAAATCGAAGAGACACTGCTCTCCGAATCTCGAGAGTCAGACCCCCAACATGATTGCTCTCTCAAAAATCGAAGAGGCATCGTTCTCCGAATCTCGAGAGCCAGATACCACAGACCACTTTTTCAAAGTGCTCTGACAGAGTTAAAACATGTGAAACTGGCAGCTCCCACTACCGTGCTATGACCAAGCAGGGTAAAGGAATAGCATTACTACTTGTTGTTAGGGAGACTCCTATATATGTCGACCTCCATCCCCAACGGACAGGCAGACCTGCAAAAATGCTCAAACCCTTCATCATATCTGAGAGGGCACTCCCAACAAAGCCTTTCGAAATATTCAGCTTTCTTTCCCCCCGATAATACCTCTGCAAACAAGCTATACTAGAGCAAGAATATCTCATATCATCAGGGTTAAAAGCAAGAGTATCCCATATCATGCTTTTTCCCCTGTTTTTTCTTTTGGCCTTGTTTTTTACCTGCAAGACAAGGAGAAAGAGAGCAATCAGTCAGCACTTGGAATCAAGCTTCCAGCCAGGAACTGACTGCCTGGAACCCCTTACCTGATTACTTACCTGGCATTGCTCTCGAGTACTCATCTTCAACATCTTATGTTTCCAGGGAAGATTCCGCATCTGCTTGAGGAACAGATAGGGCAAGTGCGAAGGATACAAGGAAGCATGTGGAGACAAGCGTAACAGCACACGTGCCGATACATCCATTACTCTCTGTCAAAAGCAAAAGTATCCCATATCAGCAGGGTGGAACGTACTCTAGATTTGATGGACTTGTTTTGACCCTCAAATTCTTCAGTCGGCCTTATACTCTGGAGGAAACCAGAAAACCCTCCAGCTCAGTTCAAGAATAAGCCTGTAGAAAGTTACTTCTTCAAAAGCAAAAGTATCTCATATCATCTCTTCTCATTTTTCTTCTCTTTATCCTTCATGCTGCTGCAAGATGGGGAGAAGGTGAACAATCAGTCGGAGCTCTGATTGCTTACCTTGTCTGTCACCTCTTTCAGCAGCAGACCCCCTAGCTCGGCGACTTGGGGGACTCCTACTACATGGTTTGTATCGCGCGCTTGACCAAGCCTGAAACTACAAGTAAGCTTCAAGTGAAATTGATACATTACCTTGTGCATCTCCACCAGTTAAAGATACCACCCCTGGATGGAGGAAGAGTACTTCCAGAGAAGATGCCACATCTACCTATGAGACAGATAAGGCAAGTCAAGACGACACCACACTCCGATACTTAGAAGTTTCGTGATTACGAGATCATTCTCCCACAATATTCCTAATGTCATTTGTACTAAATCATTCACTCATACTCACTAAAGGAGAGCTTGAACCTATGTACTTGTGTAAACCCTTCACAATTAATGAGAACTCTTCTATTCCGTGGACGTAGCCAATCTGGGTGAACCACGTACATCTTGTGTTTGCTTTCCTATCTCTATCCATTTATATACTTATCCACACTAATGACCGGAGCAATCTAGCGAAGATCACAAAAAGCGACCGTTTTCGTTACCTATGATCTATCTTGCAAGAGAACGGAGAATTAGATGGAGATCTCAACCATAGAATACGAGCTGGATGGAAAGAGTGCATCCGGCGTGTTGTGTGACCGTCGTAGGCCACTGAAGCTCAAGGGAAAATTTTATAGGACGGCAATAAGGCCAGCGATGTTGTATGGCAGAGAATGTTGGGTGGTGAAGCATCAACACGTACACAAAATGGGTGTAGCGGAGATGAGGATGCTTCGTGGGATGTGTGGGCACACGAGAAAGGATAAGATTGGGAATGAGGATATCCGAGGTACAGTAGGAGTAGCCGAAATTGTAGGAAAGATGAGAGAAAATCGGCTCTGGTGATTTGGACATGTGCAAAGAAGGCCGACTGACGCTCCGGTTCGAAGATGTGACTACGGGACAGAGGTTCAGGGCCGAAGGGGTAGAGGAAGACCTAGGAAAACTTTGGAAGAGACTCTAAGAAAAGACTTAGAGTACTTGGATCTAACGGAGGACATGACACAAAACCGAGCGCAATGGCGTTCTAGGATTCATATAGCCGACCCCACTTAGTGGGAAAAGGCTTTGTTGTTGTTGTTGTTGTTGAACAAAATCTGCTATTTAGTATTTACAAATCTACAGTTGCAGCGCATTAAGTGGAGTTTGGCCTTTCAGTTTTCTTGTCCGCTGTAAGTCAGCTATTAAAATATAGAATGTATAAATCTCTTTTTCAATAAGAGAAATTGCAAATATACATATAGATTGTTTTTATACAATTAATAAAAACTGAAAATGCATATGGCCACAATGAAAAGTAACATAAAACAAATTGTATTCCATAGAAAATCAAGTGGAAAGTAGGACTAAGCAATTTAAAACATACCTCCTACACAAGTCACCTTCTTCAGTACAATCCACCTTCGCCATAAGTATACGGCCATCTATTTCTGGATCATACCTGTTAACCAAGGAAGCATGAGAGAAAGTGGGATAAGAATTGTAAACTTCATATTCTGGACTGCACCATTAGAAAGGGGAAATGTTATTAACACTCTAAAACAGCCCTTCAGCACTCTTCCTGAGTGTAGAACATAAGGAATGAGTGCAGGATGACTAGTGCCAATTACAACTCCCTCAGAAAAATCATATTATGTGGAAGAAAAGCAGACTTTCAGAGTGAAGCACCTCTCTCTTATTATTTTGGCGGCCTTCTCCCATGAAGGTTTCTGAAAAGGAAAGTGATAACATGAAGCAAGAAGTAATAAAAGAGGAAGATAAAAATGCAGCAAGAAAGATACGCTTTTGGATGGATTCAACTAAATAGTTCAATTACGTCAACCAAACAATAAATTAATGCACACAAAGTATCTTCCGATTATACAACAGTTCCATCAAAAATGAAGAAAGAACAACATTAATTGACCCAAGGATCTTGTGACTTGTCATAAGATAATGCATATTCACAAGCACATACATGATCAAGGGTATGAAATGAGGGGAAACAATCGAAGTAGTAAATGATAGTTAAACAACTCCAAAACCCAAGAGCAATGCATGTAAGAAGTCAGATACAACAAATACATATATTACAACCTTTTAGATTTCTTTCACTCAGCAAAACTAAAAGATATAAGTTGAAGAAATCCTCAGCTAGTAATGTTCTCAATGAAAACTGCATTACAAGAAGTTTTCCCATGATTGAATGATCGCATTATTGGCATACATGAATTACACTTTAGTTTCTGGCCAAAATATGAGATTCTAAATTCTTTGAAATCATGCCAAAACCATAGAATATGCATATGCAAACGCAAGTATAAAACAAGAATTGTAGAAATTGATTGATTAAGAAAGCTAAAAATTTCATGAAAAGAGATTTGAGAAGTGTGAAGCCATTTTATTTACCAGGCGATTGCTCCAGTAGCACCACGGAGCATAAAAATTAACCACCAAAATTGGGTGCCTGCAAAAGAATTGTTTAATACAAAATTAGGAAAGGTTATCAATTTGCAACATAAAAGTGTTCCACATCAGCAGCATTAAATATCAAAGGTATGGAACTAAAAGGTGGCCCACTTACTGGTGAGTAAACTTTTCAAAATTCTGAGCAGTTAGAGAAATAGAGCCATCACCAGAAAACTCATCTCCATCCCCATGCTTAATATTATGTAAAGCCGGTCCTGAGTGGAACTCAGTGCCAGTTGGTCTTAAATCTGTCCCTATGGAGAACTTGCGAATTGTTTTCGTAATATTCAATCTGTTCTGAGAATGAGAGAGAACGGATTCAAGATAGATGGATACCACATAAAGAATATAAAAATTACTAACAAAGGATCATTAGCATTAGGGATGAAAATCAGGACCAGAGTAAATAATATTGAAGAAAAAAAAAAACCTAAATGAGAGAGAAACTTACTGTTCCCAACACGTCACTCACGTCAAGAGATGCAAATTCACATGAAAGTGCAGGAAAACTACATGAAAAAGGAGTTAACATTATGCAGGCGGCCAAGGAAATGAGAGAGGCAGGGGGTGAAGGAAGGTTATATAAATCGATACTACATAAATAACACTGTTCTAAAAATCCTCGCCTAGCACCGCCTAGGCGGGGGCCTAGGCTCTAGGCAGCTAGCCACCGCCCCGATTAATGCCTTGGCATTTGAAAACTAAGAAAGGGCGCCTAGACCTGCTAAGGCGCCCGCCTAGCCCGCCCAGACCTGCCTAGGTCGCAACACACTTTGACATAAAATAGTTAACTTTCATTTTGCATTTTATTTTTTGCAATAAATTGTAAGAGACTTGTTGAATATTTAAATGAACACACATTATATGCTTTTTCTCCATGTTTTCATTATGTTTGAATACTTCATAATGTATATGTCATACTATTTGTAGTTTATGATAATATTACATATATTTTGAGTATAAGCACACTTATTTACATGAAATATAATAAATTTACTTAAATCCGCCTAGTTCGCCTAGGCCCTGTCTAGTTGCCTAGGCACTAGGCCCCAGTCTGCCGCCCGACTAGTGCCTAGTGTCTTTTAGAACCTTGATAAATAATAATCGAAAGTGATAGCCAAGAGTTTTCTTTGAGTGTAGTTTGCATTAGAAAGGCGAATCACCAAATTTTCCAGGACCAGGAGTAAGAGAGGGAGCACCCTCATAACCTAATGCTCACACAATATAATTGCCTCTTTCGGGCTGATTAAAGCATTTCCTACAAATTCCCATGTAGTGCACCTTAGAATCATTTGGACCTAATTTAATTAAATGCACATGGAGCCATGAACCTAATAAGTCATCATTTTGTCACCACATCAAAAGTCCTACCACTCTCAACCATGATATTTATGCCATTCTTAATATAAATAGTAATAACGATTGATTAAATAGGGCTTGGCAATATCACATTGACCTAGTATCTGTAATTCCTAACCACATGTTGTTATATGGGATCTGGTTGTGTACCACCACTAAGTGAAGATAATGTAAAAAATCAAAATGATGGTTAAGAAGAATATCCTTGAATAAAATTCCAATTACACGAAGGATAGTTTTTCAGTGACATTCTAAAATCAATAAAGCTACAACTGGATCAGTATAAAATTTAACTCCATGCAATTACATAATAACTTCATAAACATAAAAAACACCAATGCAAGCTATGAATGTTTACCTGATATTAAATTCAATGCGTAAGAAATCCCCATCAGAACTCTTGTCGACAATAACAGATGTAGAGGTGCTGACGGTTAAATAATTATTCAGTTCCTGTAAAATGAACATCATAAGTCCCATCAGGATGTAAAGAAATGCCATTATTACTGAATTTAGTAATAAAATGCTGAAACAGATTACTTAAAAAAGGAAAAAGGAAACAGCAAAAAAAAGAAGGTAAATACAAATACAATAAAGTGTATTAACTACAAGCACATCTCAACAAGAAGTAATTACGAATAAAAACCACGGATGGAAAGGAAAACAAAACTACTGGAAATTCTTATAGATATTATAAAAATAAAAAAAGGTTAAACGTACATAAAGAACCAAAACAAGCATCAATTGAGAAAAAAGAATCATTACTCAATGTCCATTTGTCGAATTTGAATATTTTGAACACATAAGTAACGAACTATAGAAATATGAGCTGCTTACCATTCCAAATAAAAACATCATGGCAAGAGCTGCTACAATAGATAGTCCTGCACCCGATAATGATGCTTCTGTCAAATCTCTAGGAATTTTCCTGTACACAGGAAAAGCATTGTAGCATAAATACATATCAGGACAACCCCTGTAGGTTAATTTATTGCCCACTAAATTATAACACAGGTTTATTTGTTTATATACAGGAAAATTTAACAAACACCAACTGGACTATTAGGGTGTGCGCAAGTACCACCCAGATTGCAAATTCACCACCAGACTCATGGTTTACTGTGAATGTACCACCTCTATTAATTTTTGCAAAACTTTTAGTCAAAATGTATCATTTGCAACACATGTGAGCCATTTACATGTGTATTTTTGCCACTTACAGACCTCTAGAAGACTTACAGTAACAATTCAGTAGAATAAAGCTCGTGTGACATATCTTCTGCTTCCCAGAAGACAAGCTGTAGTCAACAAAATTCTTACCCCAAAATACGTATGAAAAAGTGCTCATGTGCTCATACTAGATGAGATTTAATGGATTTTTCTAACAGTAATTGACGGATGTGATACATCCACACTAAAAGCGGAGTGCAGGTAGTAAATTGGCAAGATTTTATTGTTCGGGCGGTATTTTACGCACACCCCTAATAGTCCAGGTGGTGTTTGTTAAACTTTCTCTTCCTTCTTCGATTCGCAGGGAAAGCTTGCAAAGAGATGCAAAGAGATGCAATGTGACATTTTTGCATATAATTTTAGCTCCTTAGATGTGTGCCATAAACATCAGACACCAAGCAGCTAAAACCCTTGAATCATTTGCTATGAATGCTTCCACTCAACACCTCCAAATAATCTAGTAATGCCTCCTTACTCTCAGGTAGTGGTGATAAAATGAATCTTTCAATGGCCTGGACGTATCTATCGCATAACTAATTCATCGTTTCTATGGATGCCAAATTCGTTGCTTCGTCGGCCAAAAAACAAAAAATAAAAATAAAACCAATTTCAAGCAAACGAAGGCCTCATTCCAAAGTTCATGGATAATACCAATTACATTAATTTCCAATGTTCATTCAATCAATCAAACACTACTTCATTTCCTCCCAACAAAGAAGAATTACTCAATGCAAATACTAATTTTAAGCAACCAAAGTATTCAAATCACCAATCCTTTCCATTAATACTAATTTAAATTCTTAATACTAATTATAACCACTCCAATTCATTGATAAATCCAAACCATTCATTCACTTATCCATCACAATCCACAATCCACATGCACCAAAAAGAAATTACGCAAAATCGAACTGAATTTTCCACGAACAGATTCAAATTACACATACACACACAGAGCTGATGAACGGTGAAAGTGAGTGAAGGAAATGCGAGAGATCTGACCTATAAAAATCGACAGACTTGATCTTGCCGGAGGAAATCATGGCTGAGATGAACGGACTGGATTTGATTCCGGAGCAACGGAGAGCTCTAATCCCAATTTCCTGAGCAAAATCACAGAGAGAATGAAATGGGAGAGAGAGCTGCTGCCTTCGCCTCTCGCCTTTGCTCTCTCTTTTTGTTTTTGTTTTTTTGTTTTTTTGCTCCGATTAGTGATCACGCGTGCGACGGTGCACCGTACTTACTATCACTGTCGCCTGTGGGACCAGATCTACTGCCGCTTATACTCGGATTCTCGATTCATCAAGCCTTTAGCTTTGACGTACGATGAGAATTAATATTTCTCTTTCTTATTTGATTACCTTATCTTGCTTATTAGGTAAGAATAAGACGTTTTTAGTAGTCGACCTTTAATATTTTTATCTTCGATAAATTGAGGATTCTTTTAGGGTAAATTACATAGTAGTCCTTCAGGTTTGAGGCTATTGCAATATTATACAACATTTTTAAAATTTTTCACTTTCATACCTCAAGTGCTATTTTATTTCAATTTCATACAACCGTTACATTTTACATCCATGGATCTGTTAAATGTTGACGTGGCTGCTACATATATGTCATGTGGCTGCCAAATGTTTGCCACATGGCAAATAAAATATTTTTTATTTTTTTTTAAAAAAAACCTGAAATTGGAAGAAGAAAAAAAAAAGGACCGAACCCCTGCAACCTAGAAGAAGAAGAAGGAGGAGGAGGAAGAAGAAGAAGACCGAACCCAGAAGAAGGAGGAAGAAGAAGAAGAGAAGAAGAAAGAGCAGGAGAGAAGAAGAAGAAAGAGGAGGAGAAAGAAGAAGAAGAAGAAGATAATATTGAACAAAAACAAAATTAATTGAGAGAGAAACTTACTGTTCCCAACACGTCACTCACATCAAGAGATGCAAATTCACACGGGAGTGCAGGAAAACTACATGAAAAAGGACATAAAATTATGGAGGCAGCCTAGGAAATGAGAGAGGCAGGGGGAGAAGAAGGTTATATAAATTGATAGTGAAGGCCAAGAGTTTTCTTTGAGCAAAGTTTGCATCAGAAAGGTGATGTCAACAAATTTTCCAGAAGTAAAAGGGATCACCCTGATAACCTAATGCTCACACAATATAACTGCCTCTTTCGGGCCGATAAAAGCATTACAAATTTAGTGCACCTTAGAATCAATTGGACCTAATTTAATTAAAAGCACTACTGGAGTTAAAAAAAAAAATTCATATAGCAGTTAATTTAAAAACACAATATAGCAGTTAATTAAAAGCACTATTGGATATAAACAAAATATTGCAGTTAATTTATAAAAAAAAATCCATCTTTGAATAAATTTCCAATTACACGAAGGCAGTTTTCAGTGACATTCTAAAATCAATAAAGCTAGAGCTGGATTAGCAATAAATTTGAACTCCATGCATGTACATAATAACTTCATAAACATCAAAAACACCAATGCAAGCTATGAAAGTTTACCTGATATTAAATTCAATACGTAAGAAATCACCATCAGAACTCTTGTCGACAATAACAGATGTAGAGGTGCTGACGGTTACCTAAAAAGGAAAAAAAGAAACCGGAAAAAAAGAAGGTAAATATAAATATAATAAAGTGTATTAACCACAAGCATATCGCAACAAAAAGTAACTTTGATAAAAAACAAGGATGGAAAAGAAAATAAAACTAGTAGAAATTCTCATAAATATAATAAAAATAGAACAAGGTTAGACATACATAAAGGACCAAAACAAGCATCAATTGAGAAAAGAAAAAAAAAAGAATCATCACTCAATGTCCATTTGGTCGAATTTGAATATTTGGAACACATAAGTGACCAACTATAGAACTACGAGCTGCTTACCATTCCAAATAAAAACATCATGGCGAGAGCTGCCATAATAGATAGTCTTGCACCCGATAATGATGCTTCTGTCAAATCTCTAAGGATTTTCCTGTACATAGGGAAAGCATTGTAGCATAAATACATATCAGGACAACCCTGCAGGTTTATTGCCCACTAAATTATACAAAATGTTTATTTGTTTATACATGGAAAAATTTCACAAACACCTCCTGGACTATTAGGGTGTGCGCAAATACCAGCAAGATTGCAAATTTACCACCCAGACTCATGGTTTACTGAGAATGTACGACCTCCATTAATTTTTGCGAAAATTTTAGTCAAAATGTATCATTTGCAATGCATGCGAGTCAATAGAATAAAGCTCGTGTCACTTATCTTGTAAGAATAAAGCTCGTGTCACTTATCTTCTACTTCCCCAAAGACATGTTGTAGTCAACGAAATTCTTACCCTAAAATAGTATGAAAAAGTGCTCATGTACTCATACTAGATGAGAATTAATGGAATTTCCAACGGTGAATTACAGATGTGATACATCACACTAAAAGTGGAGTGTGGGTGGTAAATTGGCAAGATTTTTTTGTTTGGGTGGTATTTTACGCATGCCCCTAAGAGCAATAGCAACTTGCTGTGTCATGTCCATTCTCGTTACAGTCTAGCAGGGCCTTTAGCCTGATGGACCGTGGATTGCACAGGAGCAAATCGTTGGGCAAATCAACTCCAGCCCATGCGGGCTTCAACGCAGGAGGGGGCCCGAGCGACAGGCCCGACACGAATTAGTGGCCCGAGAGCCCGAGGTGGGGGTGATGCAACGTTGACGTCAGAGTAACATCAGCCACAATATAAAATTAATAAAAATATAAAATATTAATAAAAATGTAAAAATTAAGAAAAAAAGAAAAAAATTAATAAAAAATTAAAAAAAATGTAAAACCCAGCAGGCTTCGAACTCAACGGCTCTCGCCGGAGTTCGTCGCCGAGGCTGATGATACACCCACAGACAAATGGCAGAGACTAAACCCAAGGGTTTCAACTCGAAACACATCAAAACCCAAAGAATAACTCAAGCAATTGAAGTAGGGCAATAACCTCACCTAGGTTTGAGCAATGGAAGCTTGAAGCTCTCGGCTTCAATGGTGGATCACCCAAATGGTGCTCTGATGATGCATGCAAGGATATATTCAAGTTCCTCTCATCCATGGGATTGAGATTTCAGAGTTTGTTAGTTTGATTTGCTTCGGTTTCGAAGAAGTGGAAGGATGAGAGCTCTCAGAGCCGTAGAAAGAGAATGAGAGTGTCGAGAGACTAAAGAGAGAGAGAGGTTTTAGAAATGAGGGGGAAGGGTTGCATCGGTAGAGAGAGAGAAAAAAAGTGTAAAGGAAATGAGAGAGAGAGAGAGAGAGAGAGAGAGAGAGAGAGAGAGAGTGTGTGTGTGTGTGTGTGTGTGTGTGTGTGTGTGTGTGTGTGTGTGTGTGTGTGTGTGTGTGTGTGTGTGTGTGTGTGTGTGTGTGTGTGTGTGTGTGTGTGTGTGTGTGTGTGTGTGTGTGTAAGGGAAATGAGAGAGAGCGCTAGGTGAGGGAGCCAGTCAAAGTAAAAGAAATCCCACAAGTAATTATTTTGTATTATTTTATAAAATAAAAAATATTAATATTTTATTGCCTATTGTCATGACTATTCAGTGTAAGGGTGGAGATGTAAAAGGCAATTACTGTTCATTAGAGGCTATTCAATAGTGACTTGCCCTAGGGGGTCTTTGCAATGGTGGAGTTGCTCTAATAGTCCAGGTGGTGTTGGTTAAATTTTTCTTCCTACTCCTATTCGCAGGGAAAGTTTGAGAAGATATGAAATTTTACATTTTTGCATATAATTTAGCTCCTTAGATGTGTACCATAAACATCATACAGCAAGCAGCTAAAACCCTAGAATCATTTGCTATGAAAGCTTCCACTAAGCACCTCCAAACAATCTAGTAATGCTTTAGTGGTGATGAATTGAATCTTTCAATGGCGTGGAAGCAACCAAACTATTCAAATCACCAATCTTTTCTATTTGTTTGGACGAGAAAATTTAAACTTACAAAGAAATTTTAAAATGACGAAATTTTATCTTCTAGAATTTATGAATTTTCTTGTTTGGCAAACTTAAAAGTACAATGGAAGTTCAATACGAAATTTTTTATTTTTAAATTCTCACTCATAGAAATTTAGAAATGATACATATTTACATGGAATTTAAACTTGAAAATTGGAGTTCCTAAATTGCAAGTTTTTTTTTTCCACATGGAAATTCTAAATTTTTATGTTTATGAATCCAAACAAGAGAATTGTTGCCTGTCAATTGATAACTCTGACCTTTGTCAAAATTCCAAGTTTAATTCCATCGTCCAAACATAATGTTAATATTAATTTAAATTCTGAATCCTATTTATAATCACTCCAATTTCATTGATAAACTCAAACATTCATTCACTTATCCATCACAATTCACAATCCACAATCCACATGCATGAGAAAGCAATTACGCAAAATCAAACTGAATTTTCCATGATCAGATTCAAATTACACACAAACACACAGAGCTGATGAACAATGAAATGATGCGAGCAATTTGACCTATAAAAATCGATGGACTTGATCTTGCCAGTGGAAATCATGGCTGAGATGAACGTATTGATTTCAGAGCAACGGACAGCTCTAATCCCAATTTTCCGAGCAAAATTACAGAGAGAATGAAATGGGCGAGAGAAAGCAGCTGAACAATTTAGGAGTTGACATTTTATAGTTTTATTTCAATGTTGTGCAATCAAAATCCCTGAAAAACAGACAAAGATGAAAAGTCAACGATGGAAGAAACGAGGAACTTTAGGACAGCTTTTTCGGACACATTCACTTGCCCCCCCCCCCTAATTTTTTATGCTTTTGGGCAATAGACAATTTTTATGCTTTTGGGCAATAGACAATTCAATCTCCCCCCCCCCCCCCCCCCCCAAAAATTTTTATAAGCTTTTGGGCAATAGACAATTCAATCTCCCAAGTAAAGTTTTAGTAAACAGTAATTGTTTAAATGTATCTTTGATCCGTATAATAATTATTTGGACAATTGATATTAAAAATTTTAATAAAAAACAATATTTTATTTTTTCTTTATTTTTTTCTTTTTCTTTATTTCTTTCTTTTTTCCTTACAAGTTCAGAAGAAAATCGACAACTACTTGAAGTCTGAATGAGATCAATCATAATGCTCAAACCGAATAACATGAACATGATGCTAAACATAACTTATTTAAAATTTATTTTCAACTTGGCTTGGCTTTTTGTAGCATCCACAAATTAACAAGTTAAGAAGCAAAAGAAGAAAGTGGCATGAGAATTCTGGGAGGTAACTTTTTTCTTTGTCAATGGGAGATTTC